CTCCTCCCATCTTTCCTCCCATCTCTTCTGCCATCTCTCCTCTTATCTCTTCTGCCATCTCTCCTCCCATCTCTTCTGCCGTCTCTCCTCCCATCTCTCCTCCCATCTCTTCTGCCATCTCTCCTCCCATCTCTTCTGCCATCTCTCCTACCATCTCTTCTGCATCTCTCCTCCCATCTCTTCTGCCAGCAACCTATGCAATACTTTTAGATTTTCCCTATATTAGGTTTCCAAGACAACCCATGAGTACCATGTCACCCTTCATATGCCTACAATGTTTTGTCACAGTGCTATTGTCATAGAGATATTCATTGTTCTAATTCTATTTAAAAGTTAACATGACTAATGTAACCATGACAACCCAGAGTTATACACAATTCATATACATTCAGAACCCTTGAATCAATAATACTTTCATTTTTACTGCCTCACAAATATGTATCATCATAAGGCATCCATATACAAACAAGTATCCAACCCGTCGGCCTATTTAACGTTATTTTTATCTATGTAATCAAAAGTAAAAACGTTATAGCACGCTGCAGGTGTTTTTGGACAAAATCATTCATAACATTTCCTAAAAACTCATCAACTCCTGACATTACTTGCAGATATTACCAAAACCCAGATGACATCAAACCATTAAAAAAAATATTTTGTCCAATTATTTGCTCCCTGATTTAAAGAACTTGCTCTCTATTCAAATGAAAAAGAGGATCATTCCACAAAATAAGTCCCTTTTGAAACTTGGTAAAAATAAATCGGTTTTATTTCACATAATTTTAACATTCTGTCAATTTAATAAAAAACATGTTTCCCCACTATAGTAAGTGCCTATTAAGTGCCAAACAAAATAACAGGGTTGATGATCTCATCTTAAATCAGCCATAAATCCCCTTGTGACAGGAGGAATGGAAGCTTGTTGTGTGCCACGGGGAGGGGCAATTGAATGCAAGCTACAACAAAAATGTTAAATTGTTAAAACATTTCTAGCCTGTCTATCTATGGGTAACAGGGTTGGCTTGTCATGCTCATCCCACTCAGTTTTCCAACACAAAACACCAGAAAATAGCTAAAAAGAGTACAACCAGCTGACCTGCTTTTACACTATGGTTTTAGTATTAGATGTTTTTCTTAAGGAACAGTTTTGCCATATTAAAACGAGAGTTTAATTCACATAACAGGTTTGACCTTAAAAGGGACTGGTTTTTTTAACCTAAAAATGAATCACTAATCACATGAAATAAACAATAATCTCCAGAAATTACTTTGTCAAAGCAGCAAAATAACCAGGGCTTTACAATGATGGTGAAAACGTTTTGGGTTAAGTGGGTTAAAGTCTTCCTAGAAGTCACAGAGGGTGCACATAGGGACATGCCACTTTAGCAAGTCTTTATTCATATTATTGAATTATACATGTGGTCTATATTAAAGAGAACTTAATGAAATATAACAGGCTTTTAAAATGCAATATTGGTGCCCAATTTCTACTTAAAATATCAAACAAATACAACAGGGGCTCATTTCGTGGAACGACCCAGGAAACTCTCAAAAAGACATAGCGGCCTTCAGCAATGGCTTCTCACTGTAGGGTTAAAAAAATGGAGTGGTTGCCTCTTGCTCAGTCTTTCTCTAACTGTCTCTCTCCCTGTCTTTCCCCCACCCCACTTTATCCTCATGGCAACCCCTTTATCACACCAAGCTAACATTTTGGACAGATTCATTCTGGATTCTCAGATCATTGTAAAATTCCCCTCTTTTCTGATAAAGCTATAACTGTGCTTATGGTGTTGGACAATGTGGGTTTTCTTTCTAGAAGAGCAGAAAGGCACTGTTCTGTTCCAATCAAATCCAGTCAAATATCCTGACAAATACAGTGCCTTCAGAAAGTATTCACACCCCTTGACTTTTTCCATATTTTGTTGTGTTACCGCCTGAATAAAAAAATTATTACATCGAGATTTTTTGTCACTGGCCTATACACAATACCCCATGATCTCAAAGTGTAATTATGTTTTTCGGTATTTTTACAAATTAATAAAAAATTAAAAGCTGAAATGTCTTGAGTCACTAAGTATTCAACCTGTTTGTTATGGCAAGCCTAAATAAGTTCAGGAGTAAAAATGTGCTTAACAAGTCACATAAAACGTTGCATGGACTCACTCTGTGTGCAATAATAGTCTTTAACATGATTTATGAATGACTACCTCATCTCTACACCCCACATACAATTCATTATTTGTAAGGTCCCACAGTCGAAAAGTGAATTTCAAACACAGATTCAACCACAAAGACCAGAGATGTTTTTCAATGCCTCACAAAGGGCACCTATTGGTAGACAGATGTGTAAAAATAGCAGACATTGAATATCCCTTTGAGCATGGTGAAGTTATGAATTACACTTTGGATGGTGGATCAATACACCTAGTCACTACAAAGATACAGGCATCCTTCCTAACTCAGTTGCCGGAGAGGAAGGAAACCGCTCAGGGATTTCACCATGAGGCCAATGGTGACTTTAAAACAGTTACAGAGTTTAATGGTTGTGATATGAGAACTGAGAATGGCTCAACAACATTTTAGTTACTCCACAATACTAAACTAAATTACAGAGTGAAAAGAATGAAGCCTGTACAGAATACAAATATTCCAAAATATGCATCCTATAAGGCACTAAAGTAAAACTGCAAAAAATGTGGCAAAGAAATTAACTTTATGTCCTGAATACAAAGTGTTATGTTTGGGGCAATTTCAACACAACACATCACTGACTACTACTTTTCATATTTTCAAGCATGGTGGTGGCTGCATCATGTTATGAGTATACTTGTCATCGGCAAGGGCTAGGGAGTTTTTTAGGATAAAAATAAACAGAATAGAGCTAAGCACATGCAAAATCTTTGAGGAAAACCTGGTTCAGTCTGCTTTCCAACAGACACTGGGAGACAAATTCACCCTTCAGCAGGACAATAACCCAAAACACAAGGCCAAATCTACAATGGAGTTGCTTACCAAGAAGACAGTGAATGTTCCTGTGTGGCCTAGTTACAGTTTTGACTTAAATCTACCTGAAGATCTATGGCAAGACCTGAAAATGGTTGTCTAGCAATGATCAACAACAGATTTGACAGAGTTATTTGTTTCTGGCCATTTTGAGCCTGTAATCGAACCCACAATTGCTGATGCTCCAGATACTCAACTAGTCTCAAGAATGCCAGTTTTATTGTTTCTTTAATCAGCACAACAGTTTTCAGCTGTGCTAAATAATTGCAAAAGGGTTTTCTAATGATCAATTAGCCTTTTAAAATGATCAACTTGGATTAGCAAACACAACGTGCCATTGGAACATAGGACTGATGGTTGCTGATAATGGGCCTCTGTATGCCTATGTAGATATTCCATTAAAAATCAGCCATTTCCAGCTACAATAGCCATTTACAACATTAACAATGTCTACACTGTATTGCTGATCAATTTGATGTTATTTTAATAGACAAAAACATTGCTTTTCTTTGGAAAACAAGGACATTTCTAAGTGACCCCAAACTTTTGAACGGTAGTGTATGTGTTATTCCTTTTCAGTCATATGTTAGCCTAGAACCTCTCATCGTTGATCATGGGAACCCACTATTATTGCAAAATGTCCCTCCGGCTGATCATTTATTAGACTCATTTGTATAGCCCAGTGTTTGTTAACCTCTGGTTCATTGACCAGCGTCAGTCTGAGGGATGTGGCTTTCCTGTCACTGAGATAGTTAATTTACAATTTAGTCCGTTTTACAGTGCTAGGTTTAATGTGAGCGGTCCCCCAAGGAGAAAAAGCCTTAACTTGCTGGTCCCTGACACAAGAGGGACCATAGCTTGCTGGTCCCAGCTGGCATAAAACAACTTTGAGAAACTACTACCTGATCAAAGACAATCCCACATTGCCATAGCTGATACACAGAGAAGACTCCTAAACCATATAGGATTAGGAACATACACTAGTGGGTATGCTTTCTGCCCTGTACTGAACACCAGTTTTACGAAGATGAATTACAGTTGGGCAAATTCAGCTAGTATACTGGCATTTGGGCCATCATAGTGATTAATTTTGCTTCTAAAACAACCCTGTCTGAACATGCTTGTAAACTGCAGAAACATCTTAATATGCACAATATGTATAGGCTATGTTTGAAATAGTAATTTTAACAAAGTTATAGCTAAACTACAGACAGCAGCGCACCATGGAAAAAGTGCCACGACCCCAAATGGCACGTAATCGATTGCACGCAGTTTCAGGAAGTTTCACGGATTCCACGTCACTACTCGACAGTCCGTCCACAGAAAACGCATCACCGACTGGAATTATTCATAATTCATTCACATAAAGAGAGACAACCCAGGGATAAAACATGGTGAGACAAGTTTACATTCGATGTTGAAAGTGATGTATTACGTACAGATATGTAGTCTGAATTGTAATGTTTGGCATGTGACCAGTTTATGTCAGTGGCGATTGAGACAGGCAAGCCATGCTAATTAAGGCTAGCTAAGGTAACGCTAGCTAGCTAACGAAACAAACTAGGCCTGTTGCTAGCCAGTTAGCTCACAATGTATCCACCTAACGTTACTAGTCCTGTTCGTCCTTGTGTCTGAACTATTCCGATGCATTATTATATATTGAGAATGATGATAGCTAGCTAAACACTTTCCAACTAGCTAGCTAACTAGCAAGGATCATGCTAGGCTAACTAGCTAACCGAGTTTAGCTATCCTTCGGCTTTGGCAAGGATGCTTTTGTCCTCGTAACGTTAGTTGGTTAATTTAGCTAGCTCGTTAACGTTACATATCACATTTCCCTATTACCGTTACGCGTGAGCAGTTAGTTTCACGTGTTAATGTCACGTGCATAAGTACAGTGAAATGCCTTTCTTACAAGCTCAAAACCCAGTAATCAATATCCAATATTTATCTAGCTAGCTATCTTTCTACGTTTTGCGTGTGAAATCGTTGTATTGATGGTACGGTAACTGCATTGCTAGCTACTGTGCTGTGTTTACGTTTTTTGGGGATTGGATAATGAAGGATTATTAATTGGTCGTGTGTACTAGCTAACGTTAATCAACATTTGCTAACGTTAGCTTGCAAGCTAGCTATAATATTCTGCAATCTGGGGTGTATTCATTACGCCGATTCTATTGCAAAACGTTTCTTAAATGGAAGCAAAAGGAACGAAACGTGGAGGGACCTAACTGAATTTGTCCAATAAAAACTTTAGTTTTCGTTGCAAATCGCAACTGTTTGGACTAATGATTGCGCCCCAGATCAGTACATTGTACACTTTTCTGTCAGTTTATTTGGGTTGATTTGACAGCATCTCATCTCTCACAGCCTCTCAGGCTGGACATCAAGCGGAAGCTGACAGCCCGGTCAGACCGCGTGAAGAGTGTGGACCTCCACCCGACCGAGCCATGGATGCTGGCCAGCCTGTACAATGGTAGTGTCTGTGTCTGGAACCACGAAACACAGGTAAATACACACACAAACACACACAGTTCCAGTTTGATGTTGAATACTTGCACCATGGAGATAAACAACTCAAAGCGAAACTTGTATGCAGTTAAAATGTACGATTTGTAAATATCTCCCTTCCAGACCTTGGTGAAGACCTTCGAAGTGTGTGACCTTCCAGTGAGAGCATCGAAGTTTGTAGCCAGAAAGAACTGGGTCATAACTGGAGCGGTGAGTGATACTGATTAAAATTCAGGACAAACATCTAATGAGAAATGAGAACTTCTGATGGTCTATCTTATCTTCCTCCACTTTGTGTTGACTCGGAGAATGGAGAATACTCGCTCACAGTATTTGCAGGGTCATATGTTTTTCCCCCCTTCTCTCTGTAGGATGACATGCAGATCCGTGTTTTCAACTACAACACCCTGGAGAGGGTCCACATGTTTGAGGCCCACTCTGACTACATCCGCTGTATCGCTGTGCATCCCACTCAACCCTACATCCTCACAAGCAGTGGTATGCAATCAGTAACTCTTATATTTTATGACTCCCGTCTTTTTATACTTGTGTCAAATGCACAAACTCATTCTCTGTCACACAAGTATGATATTAACTGACTGTTACATCCTGTGTGTCCAGACGACATGCTGATCAAGCTGTGGGACTGGGAGAAGAAATGGTCTTGCAGTCAGGTGTTTGAGGGCCACACCCACTACGTCATGCAGATCGTCATCAACCCTAAAGACAACAACCAGTTTGCCAGCGCTTCTCTGGACAGAACCATCAAGGTAACACCAGACAGTGTGTGTGTGTGATGACTTTGCCTAACAAAAGTTGTGTGTGTGTGTGCTTACAACAACCATAGAGTTTCGATGTTTGTGAGTGTGTTGTTGTTTTTTTTACTGACATGTCGTCTGTCCTATCCCAGGTATGGCAGCTGGGCTCCTCCTCTCCTAACTTTACCCTTGAGGGCCATGAGAAAGGAGTCAACTGCATTGACTACTACAGCGGAGGGGACAAGCCCTACCTCATATCAGGAGCTGATGACCGCCTGGTCAAGATCTGGGACTACCAGGTAAGACAGCGGTGGGATGAAACGATATAGCCACTTCCAGATCATAACAAGCAGTGAAATGACACTCTACTGTAGTAGATTCAGATTTGTATGTAGATGAGCATGGCCGAATTCTGTGTAACTCTGTCAGTAGTAAATGCAGTCATACGCCACGCAAAAGCATCCATTCACTACTACTTTACTAAGGGTGAGCGTTGTCCTGTGCCTCACCTACTCAATGGAGGCGGGATTAGTGGACTGTGTGTTTGCACGTGACTTTTAGTGTCTTGCTGACCGTTCTCACCCCATTGTCTCTCACCAAGAAACAAGTTGTATTGTAGATGTTTGCAGCAGAGGATCACTCTCTCTCTCTATTTCCTCCTATCAGAACAAGACGTGTGTGCAGACCCTGGAGGGCCACGCCCAGAATGTGTCGTGTGTCAGCTTTCACCCAGAGCTGCCTATCATCATCACAGGATCAGAGGACGGTGAGGAAATGCCTTATACACACTCTCTATCATGTTCTGATCCTCTGAAAGTACTTCTTCTGTTGTTGGTGAGCAGATATATTCGCTCCACTCTGGATGATTTTACATATTGAAAAATACAAAGTTAAATAAAAACATGCACACACACAATTCTGAGAATAATAATAAAAACAATCCATTCTCTGGTTCCATAGGCACTGTGCGTATCTGGCACTCGAGTACGTACCGCCTGGAGAGCACCCTGAACTACGGCATGGAGCGTGTGTGGTGTGTGTGTGGCCTGAGAGGCTCCAACAATGTGGCCTTAGGCTACGACGAAGGCAGCATCATCATCAAGGTGTGCAATAGAAACGTCAATGACCATATATTTGTGCATAACAGTCAAAACTCAAGAACTGATTTTTCACAATGCAGGGTTTCCACTGCAAGTTTGATAGAATTTCTGTTTGTACACATTGCACGCATACTCTTTAAAACAAACTTTCTATGTTGAAACAACTACTTGGTGACATCTCCTCTGCGCCTCATGAAAGCCTTGGTACTTTATTTATTCCATCCTGTCCTCCTCTCCTGTGTGCTGTAGCTGGGGCGTGAGGAGCCAGCCATGTCCATGGACACCAATGGGAAGATCATCTGGGCCAAGCACTCGGAGGTGCAGCAGGCAAACCTGAAGGCCATGGGCGACGCAGAGATCAAGGACGGAGAGAGGCTGCCGCTGGCTGTCAAAGACATGGGCAGCTGTGAAATCTACCCCCAGACCATCCAGCACAACCCCAACGGAAGGTCAGTGCGCACTGCATTGGACTCCCATGTCAGCTATTCAGTGAATCTATCCAAATGTCTTGCACAACTGCGTGTTTGTGTGCCACACCTTTAAAGGCAACGCTGTTTTCAAATGTTATATAAAAAAACTAATTTGTTAGAAAACGTGGGAACCCCCCCCCCCACACACACACACACACACACACACACACACACACAAAACACACACACACTTCAAAACAGGTTCCACATCTCCAGAAATAAATTCCTATTTCTCCAAACACACTTCAACTTCAAGTCTTTTGAAAATATGGATGTTTTATAGAGCCCCTCTTTAATATATATGCGTTGTTTGTGATGTCAGGTTTGTTGTGGTGTGTGGAGACGGAGAGTACATCATCTACACTGCCATGGCCCTGAGGAACAAGAGCTTCGGCTCAGCACAGGAGTTTGTCTGGGCACACGACTCCTCCGAGTGAGTCCATCACACACACCCCTACAATTAATTAACAGCAATTTACCTTTATATAATTTAATTAACTAACCAATCAGTTTTTATGGTATGTGATTTACTCTTTTTATTTCCAGAATGGATGATTACTGTCTGTCACTCACAAATGTCCATGGTCTGTCATGTCACAGGTATGCCATCAGGGAAAGCAACAGTGTGGTCAAAATCTTCAAGAACTTCAAGGAGAAGAAGTCTTTCAAGCCAGACTTTGGTGCTGAAGGTAAGTGGAAGGCAGGCCAAGGTAGTTAGTAGTGCGAATAAAGATACTGCTAACAAATTGTTATGGCAGTTTTGATGGAACCCGGCAAGTAATGAAAAAGGTTTTACAACAAAAAATGAAATTAACGTTCTTATTGGACAAATCCAGGTAGTCCATATGTGTTTCTCTGTTTTCTTTCAACTGGTGCCTAATGAATACAACCCTGATATCAATTTCCCTGCAGGTATCTATGGAGGCTTTTTGCTGGGCGTCAGGTCAGTGAACGGTCTGGCCTTCTATGACTGGGAAAACACAGAGCTGATCCGCCGCATCGAGATCCAGCCCAAACATGTGAGTACTGCTGTAGAGAAAAGAGCATCTTTATCAAATCAAATTTTATTTGTCACATGCGCCGAATACAACAGGTGTAGTAGACCTTACAGTGAATTGCTTACTTACAAGCCCTTAATGAACAATGCAGTTTTAAGAAAAATAAGTGTTAAGTAAAAAAGTAAAATAACTTTTTTTTACCTCTACGGGATCGGTGTCCCGTATACGGGACGGTTGAGCTAACGTGCGCTAATGTGATTAGCATGACTGTTGTAAGTAACAGCAAACTTTCCAGGCCATAGGCATGTCTTATATGGGCAGAAAGCTTAAATTCTTGTTAATCTAACTGCACTGTCCAATTTAAAGTAGCTATTACAGTGACAAAATACCATGCTATTGTTTGCACAACAACAACAAACTTATCATGGCAACTGGTTTGATACATTCACCTCTGAAGGTAAAGAATGTACCTACATTCAGTAATCTTGCTCTGATTTGTCATTCTAAGGGTCCCAGAGATAAAATGTAGCATAGTTTTTATATTCAAATGTAGGAACTGGGTTCTACAGTTTGAACCCCTGCTGTCTCTGGCTCGAACCCCTGCTGTCTCTGGCTCCACATCCACCCCACCCGGCAATCTAGATGTGTGAAAGTTAGTGCATAAGCTAATGATCCTTCATGTATGACATTCCTGGGCGTGTGTAAACTTACATTTTGTATTACCATATCATTTTTGTATGTTCTCTATAGTTACGTACTTGAAAATGTATCAATTGACCAATTCGGCACATTTGGGCAGACTTGTTACAAAATAGTCCAGTATTGCAACGCTTCACTGGATCAATCTGAAACTTTGCACACACACTGCTACCATCTAGTGGCCAAAATCTAAATTGCGCCTAAACTGCAATATTATATTGTGGCCTTTCTCTTGCATTTCAGACGATAAAAAAATAATTTCAAAAAAACTTTTTGTTTGTATTCTCTTTTATCAGATCTAATGTGTTTATATTCTCCTACATTTATTTCCCATTTCCACGAACTTCAAAGTGTTTCCTTTCAAATGGTATCAAGAATATGCATATCTTTGGTTCAGGTCCTGAGCTACAGGCAGTTAGATTTGGGTATGTCATTTTAGGCACAAATTGAAAAAAAAGGGTCCGATCCTTAAGAGGTTAAAGAGCAGCAGTAAAATAACAGTAGTGAGGCTATATACAGGGGGTACATAGTCAATGTGCGGGGGCACAGGTTAGTTGAGGTAATTGCGGTAATATGTACATGTAGGTAGAGTTAAAGTGACTATGCATAGATAATAACAGAGTAGCAGCAGTGTAAAAGAGGGGGGGGGGGATAATGCAAATAGTCAGGGTAGCCATTTGATTAGCTGTTGGGGGTAGAAGCTGTTAAGAAGCCTTTTGGACCTAGACTTGGTTCTCCGGTACCGCTTGCCGTGCGGTAGCAGAGAGAACAGTCTGACTAGGGTGGCCGGAGTCTTTGACAATTTTTAGGGGCCTTCCTCTGACATCGCCTGGTATAGAGGTCCTGGATGGCAGGAATCTTGGTCCCAGTGATGTACTGGGCCGTAAGCACTACCCTCTGTAGTGCCTTGCGGTCGGAGGCCGAGCAGTTGCCATACCAGGCAGTGATGCAACCAGTCAGGATGCTCTCGATGTTGCAGCTGTATAACTTTTTGAGGATCTGAGGACCCATGCCAAATCTTTTCAGTCTCCTGAGGGGGAATAGGCTTTGTCGTGCCTCTTCACGACTGTCTTAGTGTGTTTGGACCATTATATTTTGTTGGTGATGTGGACACCAAGGAACTTGAAGCTCTCAACCTGTTCCACTACAGCCCCGTCGATGAGAAAAGGGGCGTGCTCGGTCCTCCTTTTCCTGTAGTCCACAATAATCTCCTTTGTCTTGATCACGTTGAGGGAGAGGTTGTTATCCTGGCACCACACAGCCAGGTCTCTGACCTCCACCCTATAGGCTGTCTCATCGTTGTCGGTGATCAGGCCTACCACAGTTGTGTTGTTGGCAAACTTAATGATGGTGTTGGAGTTGTGCCTGGCCATGCAGTCATGGGTGAACAGGGAGCACAGGAGGGGACTGAGCACGCACCCCTGAGGGGCCCCCGTGTTGAGGATCAGTGTGGCAGATGTGTTGTTACCTACCCTTACCACCTGGGGGCGGCCCGTCAGGAAGTCCAGGATCCAGTTGCAGAGGGAGGTGTTTAGTCCCAGGGTCCTTAGCTTAGTGATGAGCTTTGAGGGCACTATGGTGTTGAACGCTGAGCTGTAGTCAATGAATAGTAGTCATTCTCATGTAGGTGTTCCTTTTGTCCAGGTGGGAAAGGGCAGTGTGGAGTGCAATAGAGATTGCATCATCTGTGGATCTGTTGGGGCGGTATGCAAATTGGAGTGGGTCTAGGGTTTCTGTGATAATGGTGTTGATGTGAGCCATGACCAGCCTTTCAATGCATTTCATGGTTACAGACGTCAGTGCTACGGGTCTGTAGTCATTTAGGCAGGTTACCTTCGTGTTCTTGGGAACAGGGACTATGATGGTCTGCTTGAAACATGTTGGTATTACAGACTCAGTCAGGGACAGGTTGAAAATGGGTTAATATGATTACTATTGTGGCACATTTGTGTAGATAGTACAGTTTAGGTTTCGGTTTTCAATTTAGGTTTCGGTTTTCAACTGATGCTCTCATGCATGCTTCAGTGTTGCTTGCCTCGAAGCGAGCATAGAAGTAATTTAGCTCGTCTGGTATGCTCGTGTCACTGGGCAGCTCGCAGCTGTGCTTCCCTTTGTAGTCATTAATAGTTTACAAGCCCTGCCACATCCGAGGAGCGTCTTAGCCGATGTAGTACGATTCAATCTTAGTCCTGTATTGACACTTTGCCTGTTTGATGGTTCGTCGGAGGGCATAGCGGGATTTCTTATAAGCGTCCGGGTTAGAGTCTCGCTCCTTGAAAGAGGCAGCTCTACCCTTTAGCTCAGTGTGGATGTTGCCTGTAATCAATGGCTTCTGGTTGGGGTATGTACGTACGGTCACTGTGGGGATGACGGCATCGATGCACTTATTGATGAAGCCAGTGACTGATGTGGTGTACTCCTCAATACCATCGGAAGAATCCCGGAACATATTCGTCTGTGCTAGCAAAACAGTCGTGTAGCTTAGCATCTGCGTCATCTGACCACTTCTTTATTAACCAAGTCACTGGTGCTTCCTGCTTTAGTTTTTGCTTGTAAGCAGGAATCAGGAGGATATAATTATGGTCAAATTTGCCAAATGGAGGGAGAGAATATATAGGGAGAGAATATAGATATGTGCAGGAGCATCCTAGCATGTACAAGGGTCTGTTTCGGTGAATGTTTGCTTTTCTACCCAGTACCGTATTGATAGAAATGTGCATATGACACATTTGCATTTTCATCATCATGAAATCAGGACTGAGAACACTGCATCTCCCTCTTGCTTTCCCTCTCTCTCTGTTTGTAGATCTTCTGGTCAGACTCAGGGGAGTTGGTGTGTATTGCCACAGAGGATTCCTTCTTCATCCTGCGCTACCTGTCAGAGAAAGTAGCCGCCTCCCAAGAGAACAACGAGGGAGTGACCGAGGATGGCATCGAAGACGCCTTTGAGGTGTGTGTGTGACAGGCAAATACTCTGATATTACCTTGTACCTGTACTGACCTAGCAGGTAGACTCTGCTACTCTACAAGGCAGGCTTATGGATTCTACCGAAGACAAAAGCAAAATGCCTATAGCCATCCAGTAGGGGGCCCTAGACAACAGGACACCAGTGAACCCCCCCCTCCCTAATCTGTCAGCCATTTTGTGTCTGTTTTGATCCTCCAGGTCCAGGGGGAGATCCAGGAGGTGGTGAAGACAGGCCTGTGGGTGGGAGACTGCTTCATCTACACCAGCTCTGTCAACAGACTCAACTACTTTGTGGGGGGAGAGATAGTCACCATCGCTCACCTGGACAGGTACGGTGAACCAGGCTTATATTTATTAGTGCACAGCGTAGCAATACGTTTTGCAACAGAAAACAAAAACAAATGTCTTATTGGACAAATTCAGGTAGGTCCCTCCCTGTTTGGTTCTTAGTGAATACGATCCAGGAGTAAGAGACTGGAGTTGAAGAATAAGTGGAGCTCAGTACTGCTGTTGCTTTGGGTGCGACTGCTGGGGGTGTAAGCACCAGTGTTGCGGGTATAAGACCAGAAACAATAACCTCTGAATATTCAAAGAGTTGCTTTAAAAAAAAATTATAGGCTAAATGTTTGATGACAGTCAGCCAATGTAAAGCCAAAAGTCCCAACTTGTGTCCTCTTTAGGGCAACATTTGAATCAGTCAAGTCATTTTGTGTTGAAAGCAGCAGATTGACATTCATCCTACAACAAGGCTATCCAACAAATAACTGAAATGAATAAATGGGGGAAGGGTGGAACCCCACTAACTTACTCTACAAAAAATACACTTAGAGGTAGTTTTCTGGACACAGATTAAAGTGGAACTGACAGCATTTTAACTACTTTGCAGATATGAAACAGACAGTCATATCAGTCAAAAATATCAAATTCCCAGTTTATGCTACAAAACCAACTTTATAAGAGGTTTTAAAAATAGGTTATATTTTTACTAAAACTTTCAAGACATACAGTAAGGCATTGTTGGCAGAATAGATGGATGCAATTCAGTGCATGATTAATATAATTCACCAATACATTTCTTGGTAGTACAAAAAATATTGCTATCAGGTTATAAATCGAAGCTGGCCTGGTACATTGTTTGCTGCCTCCATTCGGGATGCAGTGTTCAGTTTCAATGACTCAATATTTTGGTCAAAAACTGATTAATGTAACTAAGGCTGGGAATGTCAATATAATCAAACTAGCAAGGGCAATGATCACAAGTCAGTCAACTTGGTTAATAGGTTAGCGTATCTATTTATGTAGCAGGCTAAAAATACAGAGCCTAATGTTAGCTAGCTAGCTGCTAGGAGGATGTCATGTCATTGGACAAGTGGGTGAGTGGCTGACTTTTTCCCCTCATCGTTTTTTGGTGGCTACAGCTAAAGATGCAGGTGTCATTTGGTTAGCTAGCAAGAAATGTGAATTGCTTTACTAGCTATGCTGAACTGGAACGACTATTCTCCACAGTTAGCATGCATATCTCTTAGTTGTCAATCAAATGTATTTGGCATTGATCAAATGGGCGGGCAGGCAGTTCCCATTAAATTGTCAAAATGTGGGTTGGGACAAGCATGCATTGGCAGGCAAGCTGCAGAAGGACGAGCAGGCTACTTTTCCCCCATCGTTTATCAGTGCAATTTTGACGGCCAACTATAAGCTGAACAAGAGGGTTTATCTACTCTTGCCTCGTTAGATTTGAGCTCATCTGGCTCTGGCTAACATTTGTTGTTGATTTTAGGGAGGAAGAGAGAGCCTACCTGTTCATGGTGGTTTGAACAATAGGACTGTAAAGTTCCCAAATGTAAGAGGAATCCCGTGATATTTACATATTTGCAGAAACCCATTCAGGTCTATTTTGTGGCTTTTGGCAAATGCTTTCTGACGATCTAATGGTCTAAAGTCGCTCTGTTGCTACTGCCTGTAAACACACAGTCCAGTTCAAAGTGAATGATGGCAGGCCCATGTGGCAAATGGCTTATTTGCATACACGCCTACTGTAGCTCTGATTGTCTATGGCGCACCGGTCTGTGTAGAGTAGGGTCCTGGACAAGGCGGACACGTTTTTATTAGGTTTTATTTACTGCAGTGTCTATTAATTGTCCAAATGCACGGACACCTTCTCACTATATATTGCTATAGAATTTTCACAAATGCCTTAATATAAGTCATTCCCAAACATTCTATGAAAGTGCTCAGAAAATGTAAAAAATACATTTAAAAAAGGGGCGTCATATTCTTCCTTGGGGTGTATGAACAGATTTGTATAAGATTTCACGTTGCTAAAACGCTGTCAGTAACACTTGAAACCTATTCCTAGACTAAAAAGATCTTCCAATGAAAAGATCTTCCTTCGTTGAGCATGCTTTTTAGTCTAGAACTAGGCTTTATCTGTGCATTGGAAACAAGCCCTAGAACGCCATCTCAAAGTGTGATCAGATTCCTTTTAAATCCCTATAACAAATGATCTATCTGCTCCATCCATAGGACCATGTACCTGCTGGGCTACATCCCCAAGGACGACCGCCTGTACCTGGGCGACAAGGAGCTGAACATAGTCAGTTACTCCCTGCTGGTGTCTGTGCTGGAGTACCAGACGGCTGTGATGCGCAGGGACTTTGGCATGGCCGACAAAGTGCTGCCCACCATCCCCAAGGAGCAGAGGACCCGCGTAGCACACTTCCTGGAGAAACAGGTCAGAAACGTCCTGTTCACAGAGGAAGTGAGGCGCATAGATTAAGTGGAATTGGGTATTTAGAGTCTATGGTGGCGCCAGGGGGCAACGGGAATTCTAGCTAGACTATGGGATGCTAGCAATTCTGGACTCTCCATTTCAAAACAAATCAAGCTGCTTTTATGTGGCTGCTGTTGTATGTTGTGAGAACTGACTGTGTGTTTGCGTGAAATGTTACAATGTTTACTGATATGTTCTTGTTGGTCATCCAGGGTTTCAAGCAGCAGGCTCTGGCCGTGTCATCAGACTCAGAGCACAGGTTTGAGCTGGCCCTGCAGCTGGGGGAGCTGAAGATCGCCTATCAGCTGGCTGTGGAGGCAGAGGTGAGACCTACAGTATACTAGGCTATGGAGAGACCACTGCGCACACACTACAAGAGTTCAAAGACTAATATATGTCATATATATATATGTCGTTCTACAATTAGTTATTCAATACTCAAGACTATCTGCTCGGTTTAAATCTATTCAGTCAACATCTGATCTAGATCTGAATGGACTGTAGTCAATCAATTCGTTAAATTGATTAACCATCCTTCAGCTAAGCAGCCCTGCACTAAACAATGCTTAACTATGTAATTGTTTTAGCTTGAAGTGAGGATCCAACTCCGTACGATATCCTGACAGTACTGTATAACGTGTACAGTGCATTCGGAAAGTATTCAGACCCCTTAACTTTTTGCACATTTTCTTACCTTACAGCCTTAATCTAAAATATAATTTTTATTTTTTAAATCCTCACCATTCTACACATAATACCCCATAATGACAAAGTGAAAACTTTTTGCAAATGTATTTAAAAAAAAAAAAATAATAATAATTATTATTATTTACATAAGTATTCAGACCTCTTGCTATGAGACTCGAAATTTAGCTCGGGTGCATCCTGTTTCCATTGATCATCCTTGAGATGTTTCTACAACTTGATTGAAGACCACCTGTGGTAAATTCAATTGATTGGACATGATTTGGAAAGGCACACACCTGTCTATATAAGGTCCCACAGTTGACAGTGCATGTCAGAGCAAAACCCAAGCCATGAGGTCGAAGGAATTGTCCGTAGAGCTCCGAGACAGGATTGTGTTGAGGCACAAATCTGGGGAAGGGTACCAAAAAATGTCTGCAGCATTGAAGGTCCCCAAGAACACAGTGGCCTCCATCATTCTTAAATGGAAGAAGTTTGGAACCACCAAGTCTCTTCCTAGAGCTGGCCGCCCGTCCAAACTGAGCAATCGGGGGAAAAGGGCCTTGGTCAGGGAGGTGACCAAGAACCTGATGGTCACTCTGACAGCCCACTTGGAGTTTGCCAAAAGGCACCTAAAGGACTCTGACCATGAGAAACAAGAATCTCTGGTCTGATGAAACCAAGATGAAACTCTTTGGCCTGAATGCTAAGTGTCACGTCTGGAGGAATCCTTGCACCATCCCTACGGTGAAGCATGTTGGTGGCAGCGTCATGCTGTGGGGATGTTTTTCAGCGGCAGGGGCTGGGAGACTATTCAGGCTCGAGGGAAAGATGAACGGAGCAAAGTACAGCGAGATTCTTGATGAAAACCTGCTCCGTAGTGCTCAGGACCTCAGACTGGGGTGAAGGTTCACCTTCCAACAGGACAACAACCCTATGCACACAGCCAAGACAACGCAGGAGTGGCTTCGGGACAAGTCTCTGTGTAGATTGATGAGGAAAAACAACAATTTAATCCATTTTAGAATAAGGCTGTAATGTAACAAAGTTTGGACAATTATTATTTAACTAGACAAGTCAGTTAAGAACAAATTCTTATTTACAATGACGGCCTACCAAAAGGCAAAAGGCCTCCTGCGGGGACGGGGGCTGGGATTAAAAATAAAAAATAAAATAAAAATATTTGACAAAACACACATCACGACAAGAGACACCACAACACTACATAAAGAGAGACCTAAAACAAAATGTTGTGTTGCTGCCATGCTAACACAGCATGGTAGCAACACCACATGACAACATGGAAGCAGCACAACATGGTAGCAGCACAACATGGTAGCAGCACAAAACATGGTACAAACATTGTTGGGCACAGACAACAGCACAAAGGGCAAGAAGGTAGAGACACCAAACAATACATTTACATTTACATTTACGTCATTTAGCAGACGCTCTTATCCAGAGCGACTTACAAATAGGTGCATTCACCTTTATAGCCAGTGGGATCACCACTTCACAATGTTTTTTTAAAATTTATTTATTATAATTTTTTTTGGGTTGGGGTAAGGGGGGCGTAGAAGGATTACTTTATCCTAGCCCAGGTATTCCTTAAAGAGGTGGGGTTTCAAATGTCTCCGGAAGGTGGTGAGTGACTCCGCTGTCCTGGCGTCGTGAGGGAGCTTGTTCCACCATTGGGGTGCCAGAGCAGCGAACAGTTTTGACTGGGCTGAGCGGGAACTATGCTTCCGCAGAGGTAGGGGAGCCAGCAGGCCAGAGGTGGATGAACGCAATGCCCTCGTTTGGGTGTAGGGACTGATCAGAGCCTGAAGGTACGGAGGTGCCGTTCCCCTCACAGCTCCGTAGGCAAGCACCATGGTCTTGTAGCAGATGCGAGCTTCAACTGGAAGCCAGTGGAGTGTGCGGAGGAGCGGGGTGACGTGAGAGAACTTGGGAAGGTTGAACACCAGATGGGCTGCGGCATTCTGGATGAGTTCTAGGGGTTTAATGGCACAGGCAGGGAGCCCAGCCAACAGCGAGTTGCAGTAATCCAGACGGGAGATGACAAGTGCCTGGATTAGGACCTGTGCCGCTTCCTGTGTAAGGCAGGGTCGTACTCTCCGAATGTTGTAGAGCATGAACCTACAGGATCGGGTCACCGCCTTGATGTTAGCGGAGAACAACAGGGTGTTGTCCAGGGTCACGCCAAGGCTCTTCGCACTCTGGGAGGAGGACACAACGGAGTTGTCAACCGTGATGGCAAGATCATGGAACAGGCAGTCCTTCCCCGGGAGGAAGAGCAGCTTCGTCTTGCCAAGGTTCAGCTTGAGGTGGTGATCCGTCATCCATACTGATATGTCTGCCAGACATGCAGAGATGCGATTCGCCACCTGGTTATCAGAAGGGGGAAAGGAGAAGATTAGTTGTGTGTCGTCAGCGTAGCAATGATAGGAGAGGCCATGTGAGGATATGACAGAGCCAAGTGACTTGGTGTATAGGGAGAATAGGAGAGGGCCTAGAACTGAGCCCAGGGGGACACCAGTGGTGAGAGCACGTGGTGCGGAGACAGCTTCTCGCCACGCCACTTGGTAGGAGCGACCGGTCAGGTAGGACGCAATCCAAGAGTGAGCCGCGCCGGAGATGCCCAGCTCGGAGAGGGTGGAGAGGAGGATCTGATGGTTCACAGTATCAAAGGCAGCAGACAGGTCTAGAAGGACAAGAGCAGAGGAGAGTTAGCTAGCTTTAGCAGTGCGGAGAGCCTCCGTGACACAGAGAAGAGCAGTCTCAGTTGAATGACCAGTCTTGAAACCTGACTGGTTTGGATCAAGAAGGTCATTCTGAGAGAGATAGCAAGAGAGTGAAGCAGCCACAACTGTCAGTAAGAGTGTCTTTTGAATGAAGAGATAACTGTCCAGTTTGAGTGTTTTCAACAGTATATAACTGTTTAACATTAGAACTGTTGTTTTCTCTGGTGGCAGTCGGAGCAGAAGTGGAAGCAGCTGGCAGAGCTGGCCATCAGTAAGTGCCAGTTTAGCCTGGCCCAGGAGTGCCTTCATCACGCCCAGGACTACGGTGGCCTGCTGCTGCTCGCCACCGCCTCAGGCAACGCCGCCATGGTGGGCAAGCTGGCTGAGGGCGCCGAGCGGGACGGCAAGAACAACGTGGCTTTCATGACCTACTTCCTGCAGGGGAAGTGAGTACAGAAGAGGGGGAAGGGGAACAGGCAGGTGGATGGAGCACATAATGTGATTTACACTGAACAAACATATAAACGCAACAATTTAAACGTTTTTACTGAGTTACAGTTCATATAAGGAAGTAAGTCAATTGAAATAAATGCATTAGGCCCTAATCTATGGATTTCACATGACTGGACAGGGGTGCAGCCATGGGGGGGCCTTTTAGGGGCCTTGGAGGGCATAGGCCCACCCACTTGGCAGCCAGGCCCACCCAATCAGAATAGTTTTTCCCCACAAAAGGGTTTTATTACAGACAGAAATGCTCCTCAGCATCACCCCTCCCCCACAGATGATCCTGCAGGTAAAGAAGCCGGATGTGGAGGTCCTGGGCTGGCGTGGTTACACGTGGTCTGCGGTTGTGAGGCCGTTGGACGTACTGCCAAATTCTCTAAAACGACGTTGTAGACAGCTTATGGTAGAGACATGAACATTCAATTCTCTGGCAACAGCTCTGGTGGACATTCCTGCAGTCAGCTTGCCAATTGCATGCTCCTTCAAAACTTGTGACATCTGTTGCATTGTGTTGTGTGACAAAACTGCACATTTTAAAGTGGCCTTTTATTGTCCCCAGAACAAGGTGCACCTGTTTAATGATCATGCTGTTTAATCAGCTCTTGATATGCCACACCTGTCAGGTGGATGGATTGTCTTGGCAAAGGAGAAATGCTGACTAACAGGGATGTGCACAACATTTAAGTTAAGCTTTTTGTGCGTATGGAAAATGTCAGGGATTTTTTTTTCAGCTCATGAAACATGGGACCAACACTATATATATTTTTTGTTGTTGTTGTGTAATATCTATGTTTAAGGAATCTTTCTGACACCGGTGCTATTCCTTCATCCATGTCAGTGAAGCATCTGACTTCCTTGTTGTAGCTGTTAACAATTAGCAAAAATAAGCTCTTGGAAAGTACATAACTCTACTCATATTTATGATAGGAGAACGTGATTAGTAGCAGTGTTTTGGACCTCTCTCTGACACTGGTGTCTGGCTGTCTGTCTGTCCCCAGACTGGACCATTGTCTGGAGCTGCTGATCCGGACCAACCGGCTGCCTGAGGCGGCCTTCCTGGCCCGCACCTATCTGCCCAGCCAGGTGTCCAGGGTTGTCAAGCTGTGGAGGGAAAGTCTGGCCAAGGTCAACCAGAAGGCGGCCGAGTCGCTGGCCGACCCCACTGAGTATGAGAACCTGTTCCCCGGGCTGAAGGAGTCGTTCGTGGCCGAGCAGTTCCTCCGGGAGACCTGCCTGGGAAACTCCCGGCCGGCCACCGACTACCCTCTCGTCACTGTGAGTGGTGGAGGTTGGAGATGGACCTCTAATAAATATGAATAATCTGACGTTCACATCTCAAAGCTGAAAGCTAGTTATGGATGCATATTTGCAGCACAGAAGTAGTCCACTCTCTCCATCCTTATCTCATCCATTGCTGTCTTTGTCTGCTTGTTGACACACAACACCCATTCCTCGTCTCTTTTCTCCAGCCCAATGAAGAACGTAATATACTAGAGGAGGCCACGGGCTACGAGCCCAAAGGAGCTCCCCTCGCTACACCGGTACTGGTAAGTCTTCATTATTCTCAGAGACCTCCACTACAAAGAATAATTGGTAGCCAACTTGATTAAAGGCTGTGTAGTTCTAGTTCTACATAGACAATACATTTTTTGATATCACAGACCTAGAAGTGGAAGAGTAGAGTTTGACATCTAGAAAAGCCCTCGCGTGTTGGCTGGATTGAAGATTGAAACAGCGGAGATGCTAAACTCAGACCTCACACACCTTGTGTGTACTGTGTGTGGAGTCCTGCTCATGTCTGTCTGTGTGTGTGTCCATCAGCAGGCTGAAGACAGCGGCGAGGAGACCGCGCCGGCAGCAGGCGTGATGGCGTCCGTGTTGGCGTCCGTGGCTGCAGCCGTGATCCCCTCGGAGGCAAAGCCTGAGGTTGCACCTGAGGAGGAGGAGGAAAGCCCCGGCTCATCTGGGGCACAGAAGGACAAGGTAGGCAACGGTCTCCCCAGAAATAGACAAATGTACAGTAGGTGAGGCGCATGACAATTAATGTACTGTACCCAGTGAGAAGAAATCTAGATGTATGAACATAACCCGTTGCAATATCAGTGTCAGTACCATTAGTTGTGTTATGGGCCAGGTGTTAACGTTGTGCGTTTACTTCCCCAGGCCCTGGACGAACTTGAAGACGACCTGGACAACATGGAGCTGGACGACATCGATACCACAGACGTCAACCTGGACGACGACTTCTTAGATGACTGAGACCCCCCCCCCCCCCATCTCATTCACACTATCAATGTATTTAAGAGACCAACCCCACTTTTGTATTTTTACTGTACCTGTGTTCTTTTAGTCCTACGGTGTTTGGAAGACTAAGTAGATGATGATGATGATGATTCCCAGGCGAGGGAAAGAGATGGGAGTTATACATGTCTTGATTCTTAAGCAGATTTTTTTTACTTCATCCAGGACCTTGCCTTCACTAATTATCTGTGCATTGAGCTATATATTTTCACATATTATGTATGTCTTCAATGGCAAATCAGTGTTAATTTACGCCAAATAAATTGCAATTGCTGTACATCTATGTCAAACACCGGTGTTGTCAGTTTGACCTTTTTGATCCATTGGGGGGGTGTAATCACATTGGGGGGGGGGGGGTGTAATCATTCGGTGCTGGCTTTTAAACTGACCTCTAAAAAGTTCAATATTTAATTTGTGTTGTGTTTATCAGCATTCTTTCACAGTAGACTTGATTGTTGTTAACAACGTTTTTTTTGCTTCATTTGTCATTCCTCATGTACAAAACAAGCTGGTTTTGAATGTTATTTCAAATTGTTTTAAAACAACCATTATTATAACTTGCCAGTAAGCCATCATAAAGAATGTTTACGCTTTGACCAGTAGGTACACTGCTTGACTTGACCAGGAGTACACCGGAACCGAGTACCAGCACCACTGCTTGTTCCTGCACCTCTTAAATATGGAACACCGTTTGAGTCTTTGAGTGTCAAAAAAGATACACGTCAAATAACACTATTTGACACGTCAAATAAGTTTGTTGACCAATCAGGACCTGAATATGACTGCACGTCATATAACAATTTAACACGTTCATTAATTTTTTACGTAGATTTTACACATTGATTACACTATCACTCGTATTTCATATGTCACAACGATTCATCGATACATATGCTATGATGCTGGTAAAGTTTTGTCTCGCGCACCTGCGCTTCTCCAAGCTCTGGACAGTGCTGGTTATTTAAAAGAGCTAGCTAGCTGATGGATGCAAACAATGTTCTTCCCCAAAAACATAGCAAAACGACATGTTTCAGTAGCTATAGTTAGTTAGCTAACTATCTAGTTAGGTGTCATCATCTAAAACACCCCTAATTTACAAAACTGTTCTTATTTGATTAATGGTGGTCGGACCCACCTATGTGAAGCTAGCCACAATAAGGATTAGCCACAATAGTGGAATTTGCGGTTAGCCTTCATAATAAAAGAACGTCATCGACAGTGATTCCAGTTATGCCATGGATCATGCTAAACGAGGTTGTAATGTTATATAAATTCAACAAAATAAAATAATTTGTTAATTTGACAAATATCTGTTGAAATCACGCTGGATGTATTAGACTTTAGAATTGCATTGAGGGCATACTTATTTCACTTTACGGCCTTATGGAATACGGATCAATGACATGGGGTATCAGTCTACTCAGTGACACCCAGAGAACATTCGCATCGTAGGTCTTATTGCGGGACTCTGAAACCACTGTGAATTGAGCCACATTTATTGTACCAGTCACCCTACTATGTGTATTGAACACTATTCCAGAGGAAAAACAATACAATGTGGATGTTTTGGAGCCTGATAACTCTGAGGACGTTGGGGGAAAAAACACTTGGGTACTGAGTAGACTGATACCCAATTTAATTGATCTCCAATCCTTAGGTAAGGCTGTACAGTGCAATATGAATGTCAGTATGCACAATAGGCTGACTGAGGAGGTGATTTCACACAGTCAGTCGATAAGAGCTACAACGCTAATATTTGCGTAAACTCTTCACAGTTGTGTTCTGTGGGTGTCACCGATTAGACTGATACCCCATTTCATTGCTCCACATTCCAACCTTGTTCAACATTATCTCGTCTAAATATTGCATTCCACCAATTGTAAACTTCTGCGTCACTTTCAAATAGGTACTTTTATTTTGAAGGCGACCCTCAAATTCCACTATTGTGGCTAATCCTTATTGTGTAATCCTAGTTATTTTCATGAACTGGAGTTCAAGTGGCTACCTAGCTAGCTAATACTTACTCACATGGATTCCTAAACCATTGCTAAGAATATTGAAAATGACTGCAGTTTCTATTGGTAATTGTTTTCAGGCTAGTTGCATTGGTGCTAGCTAGGTAACGTTACCAAGTTAAAGCTAGCTAGCTACCCCAGAAGTTGCTAATAACATCTGTATCAAAGATATTTGCAAACATTTTTGATCCTGCTCGTTTGACCCTGATCTTATTTCAAATGCTCACACAGACGTTTTCCCATTCGCTCGAACAAATAATGCCTTATTACCAACGCGGTACTGTAAACACATCGTTCGTGGCCGGTGTATGCTTGTTTGCAGACTTTTTTTGTACAGCTTTGACAGTGCTACTGATCGTAGTGGTGGCGCTTGGCTTGCACGTGAAAATTCAGCACACACAACATTCTATAATAGAATTGTATTATTAGACGTGTCAAATTAAAAGCTTACTTGACTCTTTTTTGACACGCAAAGACCCAAACGGCATTCCATACTAAAATAATATTAGCTGCACCTAAATAAATGTAAACAGTACCGTCACGTATTTCAGTCCAAGTCAAGTTATGAGGTACATCATGTAATGAGGGGGCTGTGCTTAGCAGGCCACACAATTGTGGAACATTCAGAAAAATGTGTAGAACGCCAGCTCTATTCTATTTTATTGTCTGAATCCCTCACGGATTCAGTTTAACTGCAATGTAGCCGATCTCAAACCTTCACCCTCTTCAAGTGACCCGCCCCTAGACCGTATATACCGCCCTACACGTGTAGCTTCGTACTGCTGCTCTTGGCTTTTATAGCTCAATGCCCTCTGGCCGCGGTCTTTCATACAGAGCTGTTCAGGAGTACATTTTCGTTTTAATCTGAAAATCCGGTGTTTCTCAACAACAAAAAAGCGTTCAAACAAGCGACCTTAGGTAGATGGCCACATCCGAAGTTGTATAGCCTACGGCAAATAAGGAGTTGGCTTTATCTGCCTAAAGTAGCAACGTTGTTTTCAGTTTGCGTTCCCGCGGAGGCACATGTAGCATTGGCTACTACTAGCTACAACAACAACAACAAGCGGGCTAGCGCTACATAGTGGCCAGATCAGCAGCGGAGGGTATGGATTGCAATTTTCTGACATTAACATTTAATTTACAAGATGTCGAGATGACTTGGGATTTCGTGGATGAGTGCAAATGAGGTTTGTGGTCCTTCTGTAGGGGATGGCAACTGTACTTAGGCCGGGGGTGTGTTTGTGCTGTTTCAGGTTGTTGTGGCCAAAGACCGCCATGATGGAGCAAGAGGAAGTGGAGAAAACAAATGGTGGTGCGGCCAAACGCACTCTCTTTGGACGCAAGAAGATGGTGGTGTAAGTTTTTGTGGACCAAATGTCACTAAATTGTTCATAAGAGTCTACAATGGTGACCCCTTTGGCTTTCAATCATTTTGCTCAGATTAATACTATCCAGAGGTTGACTAAAACCCAATATGCACTAAAACGGAATTTATCATCTACACAGGGACAGTAAGACATTTACTGGGGTGCCTAACGTTGTTCGTTTTTTTGCTTTGGGGAGTTTATTTTATTGGGCACAGGAGGGTAGTGCGTTTTTTTCCCATGTTCACATTCGCTCTTTTTGCAGGTTTTACAATATAATTTCGCCCCTATTTCAAGGTGTTTTGGTACTTTCCTTGTCCACTATGCTTTTCTGCTCGCTAACTATACCACACAGGTCAATATAGTCTACCAGTCTGTTATCTTGCACTCTATCCACCATTCTTAATGACAATAGTGCTAGGTGGATAGGTTGTTCAGATCTGCAATATGCTAACTAGTAATCATACCACACATGAAATCATTAAAAACTGCACCAATATAAGCCAAGAGGCCATGGTGCGTCATTGAGGATGAGAGAACAGTGAAGACATGAGACATCCAGCTCAAAAAGCTCCCTTATTGATCTTGTTTTGGGACAATACAATTATCCTACCAAGACTAGCCTACACCACTATATTGCAATGAATAATTGAATTAGGCTATTGTTTTCAGGTGAGTGCAAATATCGACTCAAGGCTGTATACTGCAGTGAAAATTTCATTTGAATAATGGCGCAATGGCCCTGTGATTTCTATATTTCATTCCATTTGGATCAGTTGTGGGTCTACTCTCGACAGTTTATAAAGTCTAGAAAGACACAGTAGTCCTCTGTGTGGTCCTCTGTAGCTCAGCTGGTAGAGCACGGCGCTTGTAACGCCAGGGTAGTGGGTTCGATCTCCGGGACCACCCATACACAAAAATGTATGCACGCATGACTGTAAGTCGCTTTGGATAAAAGCGTCTGCTAAGGGGCATACTATATTATTATTATTATTAGTAGCAGGCCAGTCTGGCTGTATTTTAACTTCTGATACTGAGATGTGATGTCCGTTGCGGATCATCATTCTCACAAGTCGTCCTAGAATAATGTGGCCACATACGCTTCCAGGCCCAGTTATTCAGGAAACTTAATGCGCGCACTCTGCCTCCTAGCCGATCTGAGCAGTACATTTCAAACTGTCCCTAAGTGGAAACCATGCAAGGAAAGAAAGTTCTGCATATAATTCTTTAGTAGCTGCACACTCTTCAAAGGAACATGATGCTCAAAACCATGTTTTAGTATTTTGTACATTAGTCTAATTATATACAGTTGAAGTCGGAAGTTTACATACAGTGGGGGAAAAAAGTATTTAGTTAGCCACCAATTGTGCATGTTCTCCCACTTAAAAAGAAGAGAGGCCTGTAATTTTCATCATAGGTACACGTCAACTATGACAGACAAAATGAGAGAAAAATCCAGAAAATCACATTGTAGGATTTTGTAATGAATTTATTTGCAAATTATGGTGGAAAATAAGTATTTGGTCAATAACAAAAGTTTCTCAATACTTTTGTTATATACCCTTTGTTGCCAATGACACAGGTCAAACGTTTTCTGTAAGTCTTCACAAGGTTTTCACACACTGTTGCTGGTATTTTGGCCCATTTCTCCATGCAGATCTCCTCTAGAGCAGTGATGTTCTGGGGCTGTCGCTGGGCAACACAGACTTTCAACTCCCTCCAAAGATTTTCTATGGGGTTGAGATCTGGAGACTGGCTAGGCCACTCCAGGACCTTGAAATGCTTCTTATGAAGCCACTCCTTTGTTGCCCGGGCGGTGTGTTTGGGATCATTGTCATGCTGAAAGACCCAGCCACGTTTCATCTTCAATGCCCTTGCTGATGGAAGGAGGTTTTCACTCAAAATCTCACGATACATGGCCCCATTCATTCTTTCCTTTACACGGATCAGTCGTCCTGGTCCCTTTGCAGAAAAACAGCCCCAAAGCATGATGTTTCCACCCCCATGCTTCACAGTAGGTATGATGTTCTTTGGATGCAACTCAGCATTCTTTGTCCTCCAAACACGACGAGTTGAGTTTTTACCAAAAAGTTGTATTTTGGTTTCATCTGACCATATGACATTCTTCCAATCCTCTTCTGGATTATCCAAATGCACTCTAGCAAACTTCAGACGGGCCTGGACATGTACTGGCTTAAGCAGGGGGACACGTCTGGCACTGCAGGATTTGAGTCCCTGGCGGCGTAGTGTGTTACTGATGGTAGGCTTTGTTACTTTGGTCCCAGCTCTCTGCAGGTCATTCACTAGGTCCCCCCGTGTGGTTCTGGGATTTTTGCTCACCGTTCTTGTGATCATTTTGACCCCACGGGGTGAGATCTTGGGGTGAGATCTTGTGTGGAGCCCCAGATCGAGGGAGATTATCAGTGGTCTTGTATGTCTTCCATTTCCTAATAATTGCTCCACAGTTGATTTCTTCAAACCAAGCTGCTTACCTATTGCAGATTCAGTCTTCCCAGCCTGGTGCAGGTCTACAATTTTGTTTCTGGTGTCCTTTGACAGCTCTTTGGTCTTGGCCATAGTGGAGTTTGGAGTGTGACTGTTTGAGGTTGTGGACAGGTGTCTTTTATACTGATAACAAGTTCAAACAGGTGCCATTAATACAGGTAACGAGTGGAGGACAGAGGAGCCTCTTAAAGAAGTTGTTACAGGTCTGTGAGAGCCAGAAATATTGCTTGTTTGTAGGTGACCAAATACTTATTTTCCACCATAATTTGCAAATAAATTCATAAAAAATCCTACAATGTGATTTTCTGGATTTTTTCTCTCTCAATTTGTCTGTCATAGTTGACGTGTACCTATGATGAAAATTACAGGCCTCTCTCATCTTTTTAAGTGGGAGAACTTGCACAATTGGTGGCTGACTAAATACTTTTTTCCCCCCACTGTACACCTTAGCCAAATACATTTAAACTCAGTTTTTCAAAATTCCTGACATTTAATCCTAGTAAAAATTCCCTGTTCTACGTCCAATTTGTAAGTCGCTCTGGATAAGAGCGTCTGCTAAATGACTTAAATGTCAGTTAGGATTACCACTTTATTTTAAGAATGTGAAATGTTAGAATAATAGTAGAGTGATTTATTTCAGCTTTTATTTATTTCATCACATTCCCAGTGGGTCAGAAGTTTACATTCACTCAATTAGTATTTGGTAGCAATGCCTTTTAAATTGGGTCAAACGTTTCGGGTAGTCTTCCACAAGCTTCCCACAATAAGTTGGGTGAATTTTGGCCCATTCCTCCTTACAGAGCTGGTGTAACTGAGTCAGGTTTGTATGCCTCCTTGCTCGCACATGCTTTTTCAGTTATGCCCACACATTTTCTATAGGATTGAGGTCAGGGCTTTGTGATGGCCACTCCAATACCTTGACTTTGTTGTCCTTAAGCCATTTTGCCACAACTTTGGAAGTATGCTTGGGGTCATTGTCCATTTGGAAGACCCATTTGCGACCAAGCTTTAACTTCCTGACTGATGTCTTGAGATGTTGCTTCAATATATCCACATAATTTTCCTTCCTCATGATGCCATCTATTTTGTGAAGTGCACCAGTACCTCCTGCAGCAAAGCACCCCCACAGCATAATGCTGCCACCCCTGTGCTTCACTGTTGGGATGGTGTTCTTCGGCTTGCTAGCCAACCCCTTTTTCCTCCAAACATAACGATGGTCATTATGGCCAAACAGTTCTATTTTTGTTTCATCAGACCAGAGGACATTTCTCCAAAAAGTACAATCTTTGTTCCCATGTGCAGTTGCAAACCGTAGTCTGGCTTTTTTATGGCGGTTTTGGAGCAGTGGCTTCTTCCTTGCTGAGCGGCCTTTCAGGTTATGTCGATATAGGACTCGTTTTACTGTGGATATAGATACTTTTGTACCTGTTTCCTCCAGCATCTTCACAAGGTCCTTTGCTGCTGTTCTGGGATTGATTTGCACTTTTCGCACAAAAATACGTTAATCTCTAGGAGACAGAACGCGTCTCCTTCCTGAGCGGTATGATTGCTGCGTGGTCCCATGGTGTTTATACTTGCGTACTATTGTTTGTACAGATGAACATGGTACCTTCAGGCGTTTGGAAATTGCTCCCAAGGATGAACCAGACTTGTGGAGGTCTACAATTCTTTTTCTGAGATCTTGGCAGACTTCTTTTGATTTTCCCATGATGTCAAGCAAAGAGGCACTGAGTTTGAAGGTAGGTCTTGAAATACATCCACAGGTACACCTCCAATTGACTCAAATGATGTCAATTAGCCTATCAGAAGCTTCTAAAGACATGACATCATTTTCTGGAATTGTCCAAGCTGTTTAAAGGCACAGTCAACTTAGTGTATGTAAACGTGTGACCCACTGGAATTGTGATACAGTGAAATAATCTGTCTGTAAACAATTGTTGGAAAAATTACTTGTATCATGCACAAAGTAGATGTCCTAACCAACTTGCCAAAACTATAGTTTGTTAACAAGAAATTTGTGGAGTGGTTTTAACACTTAGGTTGGAATCATTAACTTGTTTATGTAAACTTCCGACTTCAACTGTACAATCACAAAAAACAACATTTTGTCAACAAGCTGCTTTTGTAAAGCAGTCTTCCTAATGTGATCAAAACACTACAGTGCCTCCAGAAAGTATTCATACCCCTTGACTTATTCCACATTTTGTTATTACAGCCTGAATTCAAAATGGATTACATCTTATTTTTCTCACCCATCCACACAATACCCCATAATGACAGTGAAAACAGGTTTTTAGACATTTTGCAAATTTATTTAAAATGAAATACAGGAATACAGTATCTCATTTACATAAGTATTCACACCCTTGAGTCAATACTTTGTAGAAGCACCTTTGACAGTGATTACAGCTGTGAGTCTTTCTGGGTAAGTTTCGGTAAGAGCTTTCCACACCTGGATTGTACAGCGTTTGCTCATTATTCTTTGCAAAATTCTTCAAGCTCTGTCAAATTGGTTGTTGATCATTGCTAGACAACCTATTTTCAGGTCTTGCCATAGATTTTCAAATAGATTTAAGTCAACTGTAACACGGCCACTCAGGAACATTCACCATCATCTTGGTAAGCAACTCCAGTGTATATTTGGCCTCGTGTATTAGGTTATTGTCCTGCTGAAAGGTGAGTTAATCTCCCAGTTTCTGGTGGAACACAATCTAATATGACCAATGGCCCTTCTAGCCGTCTCTATTTAGAACAACAACAAAAAACAAAAATGGCCACAGTCATCAAGCTAGGTAAGAGATCATTATTAACTATGTTTACGTGATTAATAAGACTGAACTATGTTTTTGTTCAATGTAATTCATATCATAGGCCTAATAGTACTGTAGATCTATTTTTACATGAAAACAATATAGCTGGGTCACCCTATCCTGCCCATGCAGTGCCCCAACCAACACACCCCACTCAGCTTTAGGATCTTAGTGAAACATTCATTATTGGTTTCAGGTGTGTTAGGCCAAGGCCAGAATGACAACCAACAGTACGGTAGACCCCCAGGGCCAGTACTGAGCAGCCCAGCAGCTAGGGATTGCCAACACCCGCAAGGCCGCGGGGTCCGACGGTATTCCAGGGCGCGTTCTCAGAGCATGCGCAGAACAGCTGGCAGGCATATTCACGGTAATTTTCAACCTGTCCTTGTGCCCGTCTATAATCCCCCCATGTTTTAAGATGACCACCATCATTCCTGTCCCCAAGAACTCTTAAGGCTACAATGACTACCGCCCTGTAGCACTCACTTCTGTAATCATGAACACAGGGGTTTGTCGTTAGTCCCCTCCTGTACTCCCTGTTCACCCATGACTGCGTGGCCATGCAAGACTCCAACACCATCATCAGGTTCGCTGATGACATGACGGTGGTAGGCCTGATCACCGGCAACGACGAGTCAGCCTACAGGGAGAAGGTCAGTGACCTGGCAGTGTAGTGCCAGAACAACAACCTCTCCCTCAATGTGAGTAAGAACAAGGAGCTGATCGAGCACTACAGGAAACGGGGAAGCAAGCATTCCCACATCGACGGGGCGGCAGTGGTGCAGGTCAAGAGCTTAAAGTTCCTCGGTGTCCAAATCACTAAAGCCTTAAAATGGTCTGAACACATGCGCACAGTCGTGAAGAAGGCGTGACAGCGCCTCTTCCCCCTCAGGAGGTTGAAAAAGTTTCTACAGCTTTACCATTGAGAGCATTTTGACTGGCTGCATCACTGCCTGGTATGGCAATAGCACCGTCCTCAATCGCATGGCGCTACAGAGGGTGGTGCGGACAGCCCAGTACATCACTGGGGCCGAGCTCCCTGCCATCCAGGACATCTATATCAGGCGGTGTGGTAGGAAGACCCAGAAAATCGTTAGAATCCAACCACCCAAGCTATAGACTATTCTCTCTGCTTCCGCACAGCAAGCGGTGCCAGTGCATCAAGTCTGGCACCAACAGGCTCTTGAACACCTATCCCCAAGCAATTAGACTGATAAATAGCTAACAAAATAGCTACACGGACTATCTGAGTTAACCTTGTATCCTCATTGACATTTTTATTTTCTTCCTTATGCACACTCGCAGGGCCCTTCACACACACACTCACTCCATCATCTGCTCACTCACACATAACATGCACATACATTTATACTGACTCTACACACACGCACACCCACTCACATACAAGCTGCTGCTACTCTTTATCTTATATCCTGAGACCTAATCACCTTACCCCTATACATATCTACCTCCAGCACTCCAGTATCCATTCACATTGTAAATATGGTATTGGAACTGACTCTGTATATAGTATGCTTGCTTACTTATTGTGTTCATATTTCTTCTTGTTTTGTCTAGTATTACATTGTTATAATGTTGGGTTTGCAAGAAAGGCATTTCACTGTACTTGTGCATGTGCCCTTGAAATAGGTATCTCCCCTGACGTGGGCATGTTTTCAATACAAACTCATTTTGTCGTACAGTATTCGCAGCGGTCTAAGCATCTCAGTGCTTGAGGCGTCATTACAGACCCCCTGGTTCGATTCCAGGCTGTATCACAACCGGCTGTGATTGGGAGTCCCATAGGGCAGCGCACAATTGGGCCAGCGTTGTCCAGGTTTGGTCGGTGTAGGCCGTCATTGTAAATAAGAATTTGTTCTTAACTGACTTGTCTAGTTAAATAAAAAATGTACAATTCCATAGAAGGCATCCAGACCTTATTAAAGTTGCACAGTATACCCTTAATCTTGTAATAAATCAAATCTAGTGATACATAACTTGACATTTCTTCCATCCATTGTGGGAGGATAACCAACCTTCCAATTTCTTAGCCGCTTTAAATTCTAGGTTACATTTTCTTCTGATAAGTCTCCAGTCTCAACATTTCCAAGCAAGCAAAAACCGGGAGAAGGGAGAATCTGTAGACATGCTGAGATAAAAGAACATACTCTTTGCCTGAATTCAGCCAGCCTTCACAAGACCATAACGTATGCAAATATGTCTCCTTTTGTGTTTTACACCTCCAGTAGAAGAATACAATTACTGAGTGCATGATATTCAGTTTCACTGGCATATAGTACTATCTATGGATGGTCTTAAACTACAGTAATTTATGTCTGAGATTACATGAACATGACTGGGCATTCTAACATATGTATCCATTCATCAATAGTGTCTCCCAGGTCTTCCTCACATTTTTGTTTTACATGTCTTGTGTCTTCAGGAAAAGCCTATCAACCCTTGATACAGTTTGGAAGTCGACTTTAGAGTTTTGTCAGACTGCCTTAAAATAGTTGAGAGAATAAAGTGTTGTATCAGCAAAAGTTAACCTCTGCGCTGGCACAGACTGGCTGCCTGACCCTGCTGAGACCCCTGTCACCATCTGATCCTGCTCAGATTAGGCATGACAAAGAATTACCTTGGTATACATTGATTCTATCCATGGATAATGTAATGGTTCAATAATTGAAATGACCATTATTCCCAGATTCCAGACTATAGCCTACCCATCAACTCAAGATGGAACTTTGTATCCATTCACTGATTGTTATATATACTGCAACATTCACATGAGCTCCATAGACTGGTCTTACCTGGCTGTCTGATACTGCTAAGACATAATGAGCATAGTGTTGTGTACTGACTGTGCACCATGAAAGTGAAGCCTGTAGAGCTGTTTATACAGTTTCCGTGTGAACAGTAGGGAATTAGCTAGGGAAACTGACAGATCAAATATGTTGCATTGCTATACTGACTAATAAAAACTCACATTGCGCTGAAAAAAAGACAATATCAGTCGTCAAGCCTTTGGTAGCTGGTTTCATCGTTTCATTCAGGTCTAGTGTGGTTGAGGCAAAAATAATAGCTAAAGTTAGTGATCTAACTAATGTAGCCAACTTATGGCTAGCTCTAGCTAATGGTACAATGGTATATCATCAAATTTACTTCTGTTGAAACTGGACAAAACAAAGGCTACAAAACATTTCCATACACACAACAGCTGTTAGATACTGCTACCTGACAGCTAGCTAGAGCTGAACTGGCTGTGGTAGCTACTAGCTAGCTACTAGTAGCTAATTCATTCACTTGAGTCGAGAGGGGGTGAAACATTAGCTAACGTAACAGCTAGATCAGTCAGCTAAAGAGTAGCCAGTTTCTGCTCTGCTTGCTTTTACAACTCTGAGAAAAAGCGCAACACCGACAGCAGCTGCCTCTGTTAATCTCTCCCGTGCTGGTCCTATATGCCAGCCTTTCAGAAGCGTTGCCTTCACACAGCCTGTCCGAACGCTCTGTGGTGAAACCGGAAAACAGCCTACCCGACCGCTCTGAGGCGTCCGCATGGTCCTAAATCACATCGGTGCCGAGTTTTGCAATGATAAGACGGGGGGACAAATATGCAATTTCAGAATGTCTGTGTGGGGGGGTCATCTTACCCCCCCGTGAAAGTTGCGCCCCTGTATTGATACAACATCCAAAGAGTAATTAATAACTTCACCATGCTCAAAGGGATATTCAATGTCTGCTTTTATTTTTACCCATCTACCAATAGGTGCCCTTTGCAAGGCATTGAAAAACCTCCCTGGTCTTTGTGGTTGAATCTGTGTTTGAAATTCACTGCTCGACTGAGGGACCTTACAGATAATTGTATGTGTGGGGTACAGAGATGAGGTAGTCATTCAAGAATCATGTTAAACACTTATTACACACAGTGAGTCCATGCAATATATTATGTACGCTGCCATGTGACTTGTTAAGCACGTTTTTACTCCTGAACTTATTTAGGCTTGCCATAACGGGGTTGAATAGTTATTGGCTCAAGACATTTCAGCTTTATTTGTAATTAATTTGTAAACATTTTGAAACACCTCATTCCACTTTGGCATTATGGGGTATTGTGTGTAGGTAGGCCAGTGACAGCTACATTTAATCAATTTTAAATTCCGGCTGTAACACAACTAAATGTGGAAAAGTCAAGGGGTGTGATTACTTTTTGAAGGCACTGTATTAGTGTAGCCCTACAGGTGGTATCAGCATTCTCTGGTCTAGGCTTCTCACTTTTCACTTTTATTTCTATCCCTCTCCCTCGTGAATACCATCTAGGTGTGACAACAAGCAACAAGGGAATCACAACCTGTCCAAGAGGAAGAAAGGAGTTGTCCAAGAGGACGAAGGGAGTGCATTATGTCAAAGTGATGAGGATATAGATGGTGACTCTTCAGGAGGGGAGAGTGACAATTCCTTCCTAGATCCTGCTTTTGAAGAGGAATTAGATCAACTTATTAAACAGTAAGTTATATATTTGTTTTGTGTTTATTAAACAAAGTATTACTCGTTTTAGATCTCTGGTTTCTGTGTAAAAATAGCCACTCATTTTGGGCCTACGGTATCAGCTTTTGGTGATGCTGTTGGCAGGGTGGGAAATGAACTTTTTGGTCCTCCAGCCACTGTGGCAGGTAGATGAAAAGTTCTACCAGCCACTCCAGATGTTTTATCAGCCAAAATATTTGTTTGCCTTAATTACACCAGAAATAACAAATAACGGGTGAGCATGCTTTGTAATGTTTTCTAAAACAATACATTTATTACTAGTAAGAAGAGGAAATGTGGTATATTGCTCAATACAATTTCATTTTTGTGACCGGAGTCTGCTATAGTAAAAGCAGATAAACTGTTCTACAAATGAACATCAAGAATCAACGAAGCCTGCCCTGCCACACAATGCTGGTTTCTATATGGTTTAGGCTACTTATTATTATAGTTTGGGGCTCTACGCTGCCATTTTGTACAAGGAGAACATAAGTTCAAATTTAGTAGCACACAAATAAATTTAGGAGCACAATGAAAGTGTTTTAATAAGAAATTACTAAAAGTAAATGAATAAAATGTTTTTGGAGTGTTCCACACTCAATGTACCCCCAAATATTTGAGGCATTAGGTGAGACAAAAATGCTCAACTGCCCCTTTAAGGGGTGGGCCATTACAGTGTTAACAGAGCATTCAGTGTATTGAAAAACAACCTAGCGTGTGAATGAAAGTCACACCTTTCGGGTTAGTTCGACCAATTTCTACATTTGGGCTTTGGATTGAAGAAAACTGTTCCCAAATGCTGAACTTGGTTAGTGAAATAGACATTCTTACCCGCCAATGCCTAAATCTACCTGCATTTGGCGGGTGGCAATTTCCCACCCTGGCTGTTGGTTGCTTGCTTGATACTGGACAGACTTTTGCATTAGTGTATCAAGCTGTAATGGCTCTGATCTGAAATATCAAGGTCAGGGTTGGGCGGATTGCCTAAAATAATCAGTTACTGATAACTTGGATTATCATGTAATTAGTTATGTAATACATTGTATTACTCAATGAGTAATCACATCTGAAAATGTGTGTCTCATGTTATGCACCTCTGCTCTACGATTTTCCAAAAAGTAAAGTGCACATGATTTTTCCTGCATGTTCCTATCACAGACCTGCAGGCTCTATCAGCTCATCAATACTTTTCCTGCTGATGGGCCATCAACGTTAATGGACTTCACAGCATTTTATTGACTGGCTGGTTGGGTTTAAGCATCCAGATAATTCACACCTGGCCCAATGGCCAATCAATAGGCGGTTGCCTATGTTGTAATCCAAATTGTAATCCGATCTTTAGAAAGCAACCGCAATTATATTACTTTTTAAAAGTAAAATATTTAAGTCACCTGGGTTGATTAGAGTCAAAAGGTGTTGCAATTCGCTACTGCTGAGGACACAGTGAAATAAAAATTATGTCCCAAGCTGTGTTTGCAGCATTAACAGTTGAATGTGGGCTAACCTGTTACATGTTTTTTCTTTTTTTTCAGGGAGGAAAATGAGGACTTCCATTTGTCGGAAACTGAAGAGGAATCAAATGAGGAGGAAGACCACATCCCAGAAGCCACAAAAGCCAGAGTTTCAAAAAGTACAAAAGCCACCTCCAGCCCTAAAGCAGCAAAGCAAAGGGAATCCTCTTGCCCCTGGACACCCAGATCTGCAAAAAGGCAATACGAAAGGAATGCTCCAGGTACATCCCTTATCACTGGGCCAAAGAAGTGGAAGAATGAGGATGAACCAGATGAAGAGCCTAATGTGTTCCGCTTCTGTCCAGCCAGGACTCCAGGAGCACAGCTTGACCCTTACCAGAACTACACCCCTCTGGAGCTCTTCCGGCTCTTCTTCAATCAGGATGTTGTTGATACGCTCTGCTCAAACACCAACAAGAATGCAACAAGAAGAAAGGAATCGGGTAACAAACGCAAGTGGCGCCCTTTACTTGCAGAGGAATTGTACAAATACCTCAGCATTGTCATCTATATGGGTCTAATGTCTGGGCATGGAGTGGGAGACTATTGGAGTAAGAGAAGGCCATACCAACTTCCCTTCTGTCGATCTGTCATGGGCCTGAGCAGATATCAGGATATCTCTTGGTCACTGCACATGAGTGACCCAGCAGAGGATGAGGAAAATGAAAATAATAAAGGGACTGCAGAATACGATCAGCTAATGAGAATCAAACCTCTCAAAGACCAGATATTTGAGGCATGCAGAGCCTTCTACCACCCATTCCAGAACCTTTCCATTGATGAGCGCATGGTGCGCTCCAAAGCCTGCAACAGCCTCAAACAGTACATTAAAACCAAACGCTACAAGTATGGATTCAAGCTCTATATTTTAGCTGACTCGCGCAATGGCTACACCTGTGACTTCAATGTCTTTATGAGCAAGAACCCATCTACTTCAGGAAAAGGTGAGAACTATGATGCTGTCATGAACCTTTTGAATGTCACTTACTTGGGTACAGGGTACCACCTTTATGTTGATAACTTCTTCACCAGCGCAACTCTCTTCCGTGACCTGTATGAGAAAAACATTGGAGCATGTGGAACCCTTCGTGAAAACCGTGAGGGCCTTTCCCGTATCCAAGAGAACAGCATGCCTCCTCGAGCAGAGAGGGGGACCATCCGCTGGCTCCGTGACGGGGAGCTGCTCTTCACCAAGTGGATGGATGCAAGACCAGTCACCATGTGTAGCACCATCCATAAAGCCTCCGTAGAGGACCAGGAAAAAAGGAGAAAACGCGGTGCAGGTGGCACCTGGACACTAGAGTCCGTATCCGTCCCAAACGTGATCAAGTGCTACAACAAGTATATGGGGGGTGTGGACCTGTCTGATGCTCTCATCAAATACTACAGTGTGGCCCACAAAACCATGAAATGGTACAAGACGTTCTTCTATCACTTTGTGGATATTGCTGTTGTGAACAGCTACCTCCTGTACAAGGACATGGCTGTGGTCAAAAAAGAAAAGCTCATGACTCACAAACAGTTCAGGGAGAAGCTTTGTGTGCAGCTTGCTGGCATTGGGGAGGAGGATGAGGAAGAGGAGGAACAGCAGGAATGTCATAAAGCACAAACAAAGACATTCTGTTGCCCTGTGTCCATAATCGATCAGACCACCATTGACATCGGTAAACGAGCAACTGCAGGAAGGAAGAAATGTCTCCTCTGCCAGTTGAAGACCAACTGGAAGTGTGACTCCTGCGGGGTGCCACTCTGTATGATACCAGACAGGAACTGCTTCAGAGCGTGGCACTTGGACAAAAGAGCGAGAGCGGAAAAACCAGGCCCGGCCAACGTCATCAAAGTCCTAAGTAGTGACATTGAAATACCGAAGAGAGGGCGTAAAAAAGGACACCAAGCAAAATATGGCCTGGTCAAAGTCGAAAGTGAAGAATGGTAATAGTCATGTACATGGAATCACTTGGTATAAATGGTGGAGATGGTGTACTAGTTGCAGTACTGAGACCTGAAATGTGCCTATAGTAGAACACGAACTAAGCAGGCAGAGATGACTGGAAGCACAACAATTGCAAACAAACAACTGAAATACGATCAGACAAACTTGACGGACAAGAAAATAAGAGAAGACTACTCGGACAATGAACTGTGCATGGCCAGCCTACCACAATGATGAAGAGGGCCGAGCTGAAACTAAAAAAACTGCCTGCAACTTGTTAAGCTTAAAATTGATCAGAAGAGGCTTTGATACTTCCAGGTATAGCTTAGTTTCATTGGAACTCCAGCCGAAACAAATCGTTTTGTTTTTTTGTTAAATATTTGTAGGGGTTCCCCTAATGACTTAGCCTTTGAAACGCTTACTAGCCCACCATAGGATTCTTTAACATGGGAAATGCCCATAGCGTTACACTAGCTGGAGATTTCCATTAATTTCAAGTACTGACAACTACTTGGATTTTGAAGAATGACTTAGAAATACTTCAGTTCTAACTTTCCTACTTTACTCCGTTGTAGTCTATACATGTTTGTTGTCATGTAATGGGATGCAAATGCTCCTTGGTTAACTTTGTTTTGGTAGTGGTGGTGGTCACTGATGGTATGCACAGTGTGGCTTAACTGAGGGCTAGATCTGCGATTGAAATGTAAAGTAAATTTCCGATTGAGCTGACATATGCAGCGTTTACCGTGAATGAAAACATTACCTTTTAAATTTAAATCGCGCTATAACGCGGATCTTCCACGGCCCATATTGAATCTAGGCCTAAATTGTTTTTAACTTGATTTTCTTCATTTCTACTTGTTTGATGAGTGTCTTTTTTAACAGGATATGTGCGGCAGGTAGCTTAGTGGGTAAGAGCGTTGTGCCAGTAACCGAAAGGTTCTGTTTGTTAGGACAGGAAATGAGGAGGATTGGGGGTAATAAGGAAATGGTGTCCTTAAATGTGATGTCTTTGATAAAAAGGTTGTTTTGTAAAGTCATTGTCATTCTTTAGTGGTCACCAAACTGTTTTGAGTCAAGATCACGGAGTCAAAATGCAAGCTGAGGTCTACCTCATTTGTATTTTATTTGACTTAAAAAACGTAAGCCTATGCAACATTTAACCAATTAAAGACAGTTCTGTAGCAATGACGTTTGTGCAGTAGGCGATAGGCCCAATACATTATAACTGCATATTGGCTATGCTTGAATTGCCCTGCCCATGTTGTTCTTCTCAGACCATTTAGAAGTTTTAGGTATATTATCACACTGGTAATAGATCATTTGGTGCATTACTTGTGAGGCACAGCTGAGTGAGCATAATATTATAGTCATGGTTTTAAACTCACATTATCAACTTTGCTTGTGTGTTCGAGGCTTCTTTTTACAGCATATGGCACGAGGAAACTGCAGACACGGTGATCTGAGCTATCTGTAGACAGAGTTCTATCAAATAGTTTTAAAACTAAACCAAGATAACCTACAACCTGTCGTTTCCAATGGGAACAAATTAGTCATAGTGTGTATAACAAGCAAGGAGGTGGGCAGAGCCAATCACGAGCTAGCGAGATCCTATTGGCGCGTTCTAGCAGACATCTGCATATTTCCGTTAGGGAACGCCTCCTCTGTGAAGTGCGCGTGTACAATAACTACATTTCCCTTTGCACTCCTTCTAAACGCCATTTTAAAAAACTTTTGCAAAGGGTAAAGTCTACTAAACTTAGTCCACTGTTCATAACAGATTCTAGTTTTGGGGAAATAAAATTGTATTGAGATCAAATGTTTAATCGATGAGAAAATGTGCAGAATGTCGGCCAAAATCCATCTTCTCCCACTGCCAGCCAGTGGGCTTCTTCTCGCTACCATATTTGGTAGTGAGTGGAAACGCTAAGCGGATGCTTCACATTTATACATCTACCTTTCAGCCCTTCATGCGGTTGTCTATGCCTAACAATGATTGTATCATGTTGTGTTGTCAGTGGTGGGAAAAGTACCCAATTGTCATACTTGAGTAAAAGTAAAGATACCTTAATAGAAAATGACTCAAGTAAAAGTCACCCAGTAAAATACTACTTGAGGAAAAAGTCAAGGTATTTGGTTTTAAATATACTTAAGTATCAAAAGTAAAAGTATGAATAATTTAAGAATTCCTTATATTAAGCAAACCAGTCGGCACAATTTTCATATTTACAGATAGCCAGGGGCACACTCCAACACTCCGACATAATTTACAAATAAAGCATTTGTGTTTAGCGAGTCCGCCAGATAAGAGGCAGTAGGGATGACCAGTGTGTGAATTGGACCATTTTCTGGCCTGCTAAGCATTCAAAATGTAACAAGTACTTTTGGGTATCAGGGAAAATGTATGGAGTAAAAAGTACATTATTTTCTTTAGGAATGTAGTAAAGTAAAAGTTGTCAAAAATGGAAATAGTAAATTAAATTACAGATACCTCAAAAAACGTAAGTAGTACTTTAAAGTATTTTACTTAAATACTTTACACCACTGTGTGTTGTCATGTGTTGCTACCATGTTGTGTTGTCTTAGGCCTCTCTTTATGTAGTGTTGTGGTGTCTCTTGTCGTGATGCGTGTTTTGTCCTATATTTTTTTTATCCCAGACCCTGTCCCAACAGGAGGCCTTTTGCCTCTTGGTAGGCAGTCATTGTAAATAAGGATTTGTTCTTAATTTACTTGCCTAGTTAAATAAAAAGTAAAACTGGGACAAAATGTGACTTAGTGCAAACCTGGCCCATATATACTAGGCAGCCACTCACACTTGCTATACTGGACATAGGCTACTAAAAAGCATGGAAGTTAGTGCACTATTCTGACAGTGCCAAACACAACTTCTTGCACCAATTTCCAAGGTCTAATATACTGTACAATGCCTTCAGAAAGTATTCATACCCCTCGACTTATTGCGCACCTTTGGCTGCGATTACAGCTTTGAGTTGTCTTGGGTGTGTCTGTATCAGCTTTGCGCATCTGGATTTGGGTATTTTCTCCCATTCTTCCTTAGATTTTCCTCAAACTCTGTTAAGTTAGATGGGGAGCGGCGGTAAACAGCAATCTTCAAGTCTTTCCACACATTTTCGATGGGATTCAAGTCTGGGCTTTGGTTGGGCCACAAGGACTTTCACATTCTTGTTCTGAAGCCATTCCAGCGTTGCTTTGGTTGTATGCTTGGAGTCATTGTCTTGTTGGAACGTAAATCTTCGCCCCAATCTAAGGTCATTTGCACTCTGAAGCAGGTTCTCAAGGATTTGCCTGTATTTGGCCCCATTCATTGTTCCCTCTATCCTTACCAGTCTCCCTACCGCTGAAAAGCATCCCTATAGCATGATGCTGACACCACCATGCTTCACGGTAGGGATGGTGTTAGACGAGTGATGAGATGTGCCTGGTTTTCTCCAGACGTAGCGCTTTGTGTTCAGGCCAAATAGCTCAATTTGTCTCATCAGACCACATAATATTTTGCCTTATGCTCTGAGTCTTTCAGGTGTGCTGTCATGTGCCTTTTTATCAGGAGTGGCTTCCGTCTGGCCACTCTCCCATAAAGCCTAGATTGGTGAAGTGCTGTAGAGACTGTTGTCCCTCTGGCAGGTTCTCCCATCTCAGCCAAGGAACTCTATAGTTCTGTCAGAGTGGTCATTGGGTTCTTGGTCATCTCCCTGACCAAGGTCCTTCTTGCCCGGTTGCTCACTTTGGACGGACGGCCAGCTCTAGGCAGAGTCTGGGTAGTTTCATATTTGTTCAATTTCCCAATGATGGAGACCACTGTGCTCTTGGAAACTTTCAACACTCTAGAAATTGTTTTACACCCTACTCCAGCTATATGCCTCGTCACAATGATATCTCGGAGATCTACGGACAGTTCCTTGGACTTCATGGTATAGTTTCTACTCTGACATGCAGTGTCAACTGTGGGAACTTATATAGAAAGATGTGTTTCTTTCTAAATCATGTCCAAAGAATTGAATTGGTCACAGGTGGACTCCAATCAAGTTGTAGTGACATCTCAAGGACGATCAAAGGAAATTGGATGCACCTGAGCTCAATTTGGAGTGTCATAGCAAAGGTGTGTGAATACTTATGTAAATGAGATGTCTAGTTCATTTTCTAAAAACATGTTTTCACTATGGGGTATTGTCGGTAGATGGGCGAGATTATTTGATTTTTAATAAAAATCCATTTTGAATTCAGGCTGTAACAACAATGTGCAATAAATACTTTATGAAGGCACTGTAATGTAATGCTTCTCAGATTTTTTGATCACCTAAATTTAAAGTAAACCAAGTAGAATCAATCAGGAGTAAAGAGTTACGGAGTTTAATGGCTGTCATAGGAGAACTAAGGATGGATCAATCAATCATGAGCAATTATGGTTAAGTGCCTTGCTCAAGGGCACATGATTTTCACCTAGTTGGCTCGGGGATTAGAACCAGCGACCTTTCGGTTACTGGCACAACGCTCTTAACCACTAAGCTACCTACTCCACAACACTAACCTAATTGAGTGAAAAGAATGAAGCCTGTACAGAATACAAATATTCCAAAACATGCATCCTGTTTGCAACAAGGCACTAAAGTAATACTGCAAACAATTTGGCAAAGCAATTAACTTTTTGTCCCTAGTACAAAGGGTTATGTTTAGGGCAAATCCAGTAAACCACATTACTGAGTACCACTCTCCATATTTTCAAGCATGGTGGTGGCTACATCATGTTATGGGTATGCTTGTAATCGTTAAGGACTGGGGAGTCTTTCAGGACAAAAAATAAACGGAATGGAGCTAAGCATAGGCAAAATCCTAGAGGAAAACCTGGTTCAGTCTGCTTTCCACCAGACACTGGGAGTTGAATTTACCTTTCAGCAGGAAAATCACATAAAACACAAGGCCAAATATCCAGTGAGCTCCAAAAGTATTTAGATGGTGACAAATGTTTTGTTTTGGCTCTGTACTC